TGAGGAGCTTGACGAATCAGTCTATAGAGATGGCATTAATAGACTGGAACACCGCTATGAGAAATGTATCAGCCTTGGAGGAGATTATGTTGAGAAATAAAAAAAAAAAATTTTTAAAAACCTTGTTTTTCTTGGTCAGGCCGGAAACTTATCAATCCACCCTCGTATATGAAGAAGCAGGCGTGGATGTCAAAAACTTTGTAGCTTTGAACTGTAGACTTTTCCGACGAATTTCTTTGACGCGCTGCAGATAAAGAACGAAAGCTGCTGACCCAAAATAGAGAGTCTATAAAACGACTTTTATCATTCATAATAAAATTTCATGTCATACTGAAGTCGTACCAAGACCCTTTCAGGAAATCAGTGTTTTCATAAAATTTGTTGTCAAATTCCGACGAATTGAAAAAAGTTTTCTCAGCAAATAATTACAATTTTTGGCAGTACATATGTAAACAAATGATTTCAATTTTTAGTTCCAGAAAAAATAAAAATTGTTCTCTGTTTCACAGATGAGCATTTGAATGCTAATCTTCGAATATCTACCACAAACAAGAACAAATATTCAAAATATCCAATTAAATACAGCCTCAAAAACCACGTTTAATTTCGATTTTATTTCTTACAGTTTGATTAATGATCCCGTTCAGTTTGTCTGTTTTCCCTATAATTTAATCATTTTTCGTCACTGCTGCTTAAAACTTAAACACCCAAGTTAAGTCTGTCTTATTGTTCTTGTAATTATCGATATAGTTATTAGCAAAATTCTGAACAAGTGTGGTCTGCCTTTATTACGTTTTCTTACCATGGTTCTTGTCTACTACTGTAAACGATTGTCAATTAGATACTGCTGCTTTTTTCGCGAAAGGTGTGAACGGATTTTTAACCACCCTCAGCAAAGTAAATTTGGACTGGAAATTGCTGATTATTGGTCGTACACTTACGATTTTCTTCTTATCTAACGTAACATTATCTGAATATTACTAATATACACTTACGCGGCCTGCCACGATGATGCGTTAATATTCTGAGCCAAAATTCAGTTTTTTAAGCAGTTAATACAGGCACTTTAGGTACATGAAATTAAGTTAATTGTTTTCATATTTTCTAATTAACAAAACAAGTTGAAAGAACTAACTGAAACATATATTTGGAGGGGAGGGGGCTGATAGATCTCAACATCCTCCACTTAGCTAGGGATCTGACGTCGGTCACATAGGTCAATAGTTGAAGGAGACTACAAGCTCCACCTGATGTCGTAATCATCGTCGAATCTATCAATATTCTATATTTTGTATCATTTACGATTAGTATAAAATTTTTGACAATGCTAAATGAGACGATATGTTAAATATACTTAAAAATGTACGGACGAGATACAGAGATAGAAGAGTGATACATAGTTTGTATAAACACCAATAGGCAGTTATAGAGGTTGAGTATTAGCAACGTAAAGAAGTAAACATTAGGAAGGGAGTCAGACAGGGATGCACACTGTCATCGCTACTTTTTAATCCATACATCGAAGACGCGATCAATATCATTAAAGACGGAACAACTGTAGGGATAGATATACAGGGGCAAAAGATCAGCGTGCTTAGATTAGAAGATGATGTAGCAGTATTAGCATCTAGCAAGGAGTTAGAGATACCTTTAAATAAAATGGAAGCGGTGTTGACAAAACACTATTGTATGAACTACTAGTATGCAAGGGAAGAAAAAGTATTAGGGAAAGAGCGAAAATGTGGTGTTGCCAGCGAATGATGAGGATACCGTGGATAGAGAAGGTTGGAAATGAAGATGTATTAGAAAGAATAGAAGGACTCTATGGAAGTCAATAAGAAATAGGCGAGAGGTTGGTAGGGCAACTTCTTAGACATGAAGGGCTAGTCAGACACATATTAGAAGCAGAAACAGGAGTTAAAAGGAGTAAAGGTACACCTAGATTAGATTACTGTTCACAGATAGTTAAGGATGTGGGATTTTCTTGTTTTAGGACTGAGCGGCATGGCCTAGAGGTTTAGAACATTGTTTAGCATTCGGGAGGATGGCGGTTCGATTCCAGGTCCGTCTGCCTTAGTCCAAGTTTTTCTGTGGTTTCCATGGATCGCTTAGGCAAATGCTGGGGCAGTAATATTCCGCAGATAATCTTTTACTCCTTTCTGTCTTAATTTCATCCGTCTCATCATTCTCACCCGAACCACCACCTACCCATTCCCACGATTTCTGAAAGGAGGCTGAAGAGGGTCTTCCGCCCTACTATTCGGCGTAGTCCGGAAGGAATGCTCGCCAACTAGCATTACTGGCTGGTGGGAATGAAACACCCAAAAGTTTTTTTTCTTGTTTTAAGGAAATGCGATGATTAGCTCAGGATAAGAAAGAGTGGAGGTGCGTGTCCAACCAGTCTTAGGACTGACGACCTTATGGTACTGAAATCTCTTCAATTTAGTTTCGATATTATTACACAAAAGCTATTTTCTATTTAGAATAAAATTCTGTTGGTAGTTGAAAATAACAGAATTTAAATTTGAAAAGTACTTGTTCCGTGCTGAGAAATTATTAATTTCCCTGCATTTACATAATTACATACATACATACGTACGTACACTACTGGTTGTAGTGCTTCAAAACAAAAAGGTAATAAGTAAGCAAGTAAATGCAACATTAGAACATTAGTGCTTTCACTGCGAGAAGCAATATTAATAACAGCGATGACAACAGTAGTAGAAAACCCTTCTGTTAGAACAGCTTCTATTTACATAAAGGAGATTCAAATGATGTACAGAGTGGCATGTGCTGATGTCCCGGGAAAAAGAAACGTGAAATACTTTTTAAAAAAGATGTTCTTCGTGTACTGTGCATTTGTACACGTGATCTTAACCGTTATAGAAATGTTCTATAACAAGCAAAATATGTCGGCCTTTATTGATGACGTAAATTTAGTGGTTGAATATTGTCTATCAGTTTATATGGTCCGAGTGTGGCATTTACGTAAAAAGGCCATACTACAAGCTATGGAAATTGTTGACCAGAATGTACCGGACATTGGAGAGGAAAATGAGAAGTTAATAAAAATAGCAAACGAAGAAAATAATTTTAAAAGAAGACCTTGTTTTTGTGCAGTCTCATTGTTTACTTTCACCGTTATAGCCGGACTTTTGGGATGGATATGTCAATGTCTATTTAGTAAAGATGCTTATATAGAGGAACTAAACGAATATAATCAGACTGTTATAAGATACGTGGAAACACTTCCTTATCCTGTTTATATTCCTTTTGAATTTCGGTCGTCAACACTTAAACATATCATCTTAGGGATCCTCTTTATGAGTCCTTTATTTTTTCATGGTGGTATTGGTGCTGGTAAGTACAAAACAGTTTGATATAATTGAAAGGGAAAAATTAAAAAATACAGAGAGTATGTACATATATATATATATGTACATACTCTATTATGA